TCCTTGGAAGGGGAGTTCTACGGACCTGAATGTGAGAGTGGCGGCGGGGGGGATCGTCTTAGGGCGATATGGAGATGACATGTGAATAAAAAAGCAGGTGGAACGAGAAAAGAGTTGTGCTAGGGTCACCTTAATCACCCTGAACTAACTGATGTCACAAACGCGTTCTTGGATACTCATTCTCGTTCTTGGATATACTTTCCAAGTAGAAGATGTGGACCGTGAATGGGTGGAATGCGTTGCGGCAAAGCTTGCCGGGAGCCAAAATACTGCACCGCATCGCTATTTAGGCGAGTGTGTCAAAAACGTTGAAGGTTCTATCACCACTAAACGAATTTTCACGTACAACTAGACTGTGAGAACCTCTGACGCTTGCATGGCCAGTGGTTTGAATATCGTCTCTGCCGATAGAGCTAACTGTTCCTCCAGGCCTGGGGGTTACCCTACCGGACAAATTTCAAGACGTATGGAAGTCTGTTCGGGGCGTGGGCGGTCCGCTTGACTCCTTGGATGGGCTGGACGGAATCTTAAGGATTTACACTCTCCCAAGTAGAAATAGTGTGCATGGCGTATCACGAGGACCTTCTAGGGCGCCAACCAAGCAAGCAGATTATGTTGCTGGTAAGGTCAGTTGTACTCTACAGTACAACACAGCGGGCTAGACCGAGGACCTGACCTGCGACCAAGTTAGAACCAACACCTCCCGCTCGGTTATGGAGTGCCTCAATCAGACATATATCACTGGTAAGCTGTCAGACAGCCCCGTTCCCTCTCCTCATGATGATCCAGCTCGAGACTGATGACTGATGGTAGATCCCACGAGTAGGATACCCACATTTCGCTGAGCTTTCTCTTCAGTTGTATTTCAATTTTTGGAAAGTCGTGATCGATGCGCAAAAGTACAACTCGTAGCAGTTGTGCTCCCGCTGATGACTAAGATACTTGAATGGACGGCAGTAACGTTTCTGTTCGTCTCACGCGTTAGAGTTCCCCTCTTTTCCTCCCCACCCACCTTCCCGGTAGATTTCGAACGTTGGAGTGTATTTCTTGGGTATTCCTTTCCCCATTATTTGTTTTTCTTTGTTTCTAATTGAACTCTATCGGTCCCTCCTTCACTCTGTACTGGCTACTCATACAAATTTCAACTTCCAGACACCAAAAAAGACCCGTAGCGATATCGAGCTGGTTTGCGATTTCTCACGTCGATTATCGCTCGTACGCGATCAGCTGAAAGAACGAAACTTGGAAGTAGAGGAAGACTCGAGTCGCTCAATGGAGAGCATGCTCAGTGCAGTGTCACGTATCATCAGTGGCTCTGAGAAAGCCGCCTGCTAAAGGACGAGTCATCCTCCGTCTAGTTTTATTTTTCTCCTCGATGACTACTCACTCTTTTTTTCCTCAGTAGCACAACGTCTAGTATCCATGCGGAGACGGATGTGGAAACGAAGCAACCGATTTGAGTTTTGCAACTGTACCATTTTTTTGCGGTGACGTCACCATTTTTATACCGTATGTGAATTTCATGGTAGATATGGTCGTTCTGGACGAACTGAGCCATCGATTGCAACTATTTTTAGTAACTATTTCAAGTATGGGTCACCTTACTTTTAACTATCGATTGTCTGAAAGCTCCAAGACCTTACACTTGTAATTTTCTTCTAACTAAAGTACTAGTTATCCATTTTTCTCGGGATTTTCCTGACTGACTTGAACGCTCAACTTTGTGTTTTCGACTGATTAATCTGGTATTTTTTAATCGTCTCACTAGCGACGCTATGATCTCTGAGTTTCAAATTTAAACCTGCTCTACTTGTTCATTCGTACATTCTGTGATTTGAACATCGATTGGGTCAACTGATATGTGAAAAATAATCACTTGAGCGGGTGTTTTTTCTATGATTAGTTTCATAACACGTCGAATAAAGCCTTACTTTTTTTCTTTTTATTCGGCTTTGTACATTAAAACACGAAAACAATCTAACTGGCAGCCGCTGGAGCAGCCTGCTGGACTGCGGCATCGACCGCAGGAGCGGAATCACCCTCGACTTTCTCGGATTCGGCGGTGGCAGGGGCTTCGACTGGAGCGGATTCTGCAGCTGGAGCTTCAGCTGCTGCTGGTTCGGGAGCATGGGCTTCTTCATGATGTTCAGCCGGCGCTTCTGGAGCAGGTGCGGCTTCGGCATGAGATTCCTGTGCCGGAGCAGATTCGGCGTGCTGTTCTTCATGAGCTTCGGCTGCTGGAGCAGATTCGGCGGGAGCATCGTGGTGAGCTTCTTCTTTAGCGGATTCAGGGAGCAGCCTCCGTTTGAGGCGCAGCATGCACCTCAGCGGGTGCTTCTTGAGCGGCTTCGACGTGTGATTCGGCATGAGCTTCTTGTGGAGCTTCGGCTGCTGGTGCTGGAGCAGATTCTTCAGCTGGGAGCAGCTTCCACGTGGGATTCTGGGGCGGCTTCGACGTGTGATTCGGCATGAGCTTCTTGTGGAGCTTCGGCTGCTGGTGCTGGAGCAGATTCTTCAGCTGGGGCAGCTTCTGCGTGGGATTCTGGGGCGGCTTCGGTTTGAGGTTCGGCGTGTGATTCAGCGGGAGCTTCTTGTGGGAGCTTCGGCTGCTGGTGCTGGAGCAGATTCTTCAGCTGGGGCAGCTTCCACGTGGGATTCTGGGGCGGCTTCGGCTTGAGGTTCGGCGTGTGATTCGGCGGGAGCTTCTTGTGGAGCTTCGGCTGCTGGTGCTGGAGCAGATTCTTCAGCTGGGGCAGCTTCCACGTGGGATTCTGGGGCGGCTTCGGTTTGAGGTTCGGCGTGTGATTCAGCGGGAGCTTCTTGTGGGGCTTCGGCTGCTGGTGCTGGAGCAGACTCTTCAGCTGGAGCAGATTCGGCATGAGCTTCAGGTTCTGACGCTGGTTCAGCGTGTGATTCTGGGGCAGCCACGGCTTGAGGCTCAGCGTGTGATTCGGAGGGAGCTTCTTGTTGGGCTTCGGCTGCTGGTGCTGGAGCAGCTTCGACATGAGGTTCAGCTGCTGGAGCGGCTTCTTCCTTGGCAGCTTCTGGAGCAGCATCTGACGCTGGTGCTTCAGCAGCTGGTGCGGCTTCATCAGGGGCAGCACAGGATATTTTTGCTTCCTCTTTGTGGCATTCTGGTTCGACAGTGGGGGCTTCAGCTGTTGGAGCAGCTTCTGCTTGCGCTTCGTCGTGGTGTTCAGGTGCAGGGGCGGCATCCTCTTTGGCAGCAGCTTCTGGGGCAGCTTCCGGTGCTGATGCTTCAGCAGAAACTTCTTCCTTGTGACTCTCCGGCTCAGCGGCAGCGGGTTCTGTAAAAGAAGCTTATACATTTGCATTATACACTATACTGGGGAATAAGTTGAAAACTGAATAGGAGGATGGTGAGGGAATGTTAAAGTATTACTCCACAACATGCTTAAGCGTTGGCTACACTGTAACCTCGAAAACCTTCTAATACATCCTAATGACGTTAAATGTTCTATGTTTCACAAGGATAGGATTGAAACTGATTGAAACACCACTCGACGTAAACACAAGCACGTTTTTTTCACCTCTGCTCCTGACACGAAAATGAATTCGGGGTCGACCTAGTGGCCTGCATAGTATCACCGTATCTTCTTCCTCTTCGCTGTCTATATAGAACCAAGGGTCAGTGGTACCTCCCCGATAGGAACCTACGTTCATGAGAAACAACAGAAACGAATAAACTAACCAGCACTGTGTTCAGCAGGAGCAGGAGCGTCAGCGTGTTCGGCAGCTGGTTCAGCAGCAGGAGCGTCAGCATGGGCCTCTGGTGCTGGAGCTGGTGCTTCTTCAGATGGAGCAGATTCAGCGGCGGCAGTCTCAGCATGGGGTTCGGATGCGGGTGCTTCAGCAGTATGAGCATCTTCGGCTACGGGGGCATCAGCTGGAGCAGATTCATGAGTAGATTCAGTAGCAGGAGCGGCAGCATCGGGAGCAGATTCGGTAGCTACGGTTGCCTCTTCAGCTGGGGCTGCTGCGGGAGCAGTGTCGGCCGCCTGGTCTGCCATTGTTGATGGGTTATGCGGGTGAAGCGACTCAACCGGTAGGCGTGGTGCAAATGTGAAGGCGTGCCCGACTACCACATGACGCACATATTCGGAACGCCTTCCACGTGGCCACGCCCATCGAAATCGTTCTGCCTGGTTCGTTGATCGGAAGGAGGAGAGATCTGATAGTGTACGAAATCACATGGGGAGGCGCGGAGAAAAGAAGCTAGGCTAGCACAAGTCCAGAGGAAATGAGATCTGCTGTTGAGGTTGCTCAGACACAGATTGTTCTTTGCGTTCTAGTTGTTTTGGTGGTCCATTTTCGAACAAAGAGGGGAAATAAGCCTCAGCGTTTTCGAACTCCTAGATCTTTCAACTGAAGGAGAATTCGAGTCGCGTCACGTTTTGACATCTCAGCCAAGCAGAGGAACTATTTAATGGCAAGTATTGTTATGCTATTAAAGAGCAGAGAGTTCCTGTATAAATAGTTTGAGGATGCACCAAGCTTTCTACATCCACTCAGACCTGCAGTGGCGCTTTGAACATTGCAATCCATTTTTGCTAGCAGGCGACGAATTTGAAGACCGACCAAAAGGCGTACCTTTCCGCAGAAACCTGCTGGCAATTTATCGATACCGGAGCAGAAGAGGGCTTGGTTGGCCCTCACGGGAACTGATCGGAGTATTGACCAGATAAGTGGCACGACTGGCTGCTACATCACCTGATGTTGTGATGGTTAGTTACTAATGAACTAAGCTTATGGGCGATCTATTATGACCCTTGACAAAGTAACCCTTCAGCATAGCCAGCTTTTTGTCGGTGTAAAACGGTTCATAGGGCCTGCTATTTTCCGAGCAGCAGTGGGAAAAGCTTAAACAACCTTATCACACATGATTCCGGTCCTCTAATTCCTTATAATTATTCACAGGAGATGTAAGTCATTAAAGTGATGCGATATAAGTAGTAACGGGCAGTAATCGCGTATCAACTGGGCTCTCATTGATAATCGAGTTTTTAGAAGGACGCAAGCATTCACTCTTCCCTGAAATGCACCAAAGTTTTCTAATTCTCCTCCCGGAGCGCGAACAGCAAAAACCGATTGAGAAACATCAGCCTTCATACAGGTAAAATCAGTTCGAAGAAGTCGAATGGAATTTCATGAATATCTTTCCCAGAAAGCTCCTCCAGTGAACGTCCACTATAATGAAGGGTCCCAGATTTCATGTGTTCTGCATTCCTGGTCGAAATATCGCTTAAACCCGTCTCTTGTTTGACCTCTCTACCACATATGGGAATGTGAAGCATGGACGATTTATAAGTAGTCACCTGATACCAGTAGTCGTTTCTATCGGCATTTGCAACAATACGATTTGTCATTCGGCAGCGATTTAGTCACCTCCGCTACCGTTTTCAGTCAGTATGATTCATCTAGACGGAATTCTTTGCGGATTTCCGTCAGGGCTCACCATCACCACCTTTTTCTCCCGAGGATCGCTCTCATCGATCGAATCCATGTTGTACGATTATACCCCATGAAAACACGACTGGAAACTTTTACACGGATACGCGCCTACACACATTACTAAAAACTGCAGACAGTTGTGGCCGCGGAGCTATTTCGTAATCGGCAGCGCTACAATGGAAAATCTATTCCCTTCCGCAAAAAAACCATTTTCAGCAGCGTGTATCGATGTTTGAAATATCGGTATTGATTTCCTGACCAGTATTAGTCATGAAATTGGAATAATTTCAACCTAACTCAAAAGCACTGGAACGCATTTCATATCGACTTGTTCTGATTGGAATCTTTTGAATATTTGTTCAGTTGTGGAGATTAGGCTAGAAAGGATAAAGCTTGTGACGCTGAACTGCAAGTTCTTGGGCCTGGCAGCCGCTGTGACGTCGGTAGCTTTTTTATACTCAGAGAGAAGCTTGTTACCAATTACCTGTCCTGACGTTATTGAGCTGAGTCACGTTCAGGGCACGTAGTACGTTGGAGAATCCACATCAAGGAAGGAGGGGGGGGATCGTATTTGACAGCTAGAGGCAGAAGAGTCCCACTGCCCTCGAGAAAAAGATTTCGGTTGTTGACTCTCTGTTTTTCCTGTCCTTCCCACCTTTCGACGGCCTTTTGGGTAAAAAGTAGAAAACAAACTCCGGAAAACTGCTAGGAAGTTGGGGAAATTAGAAAGACGATGGGTGGAGCGGGCTTACTACGAAAAGAAGTTTTTAGGGGAGGTCACATTTCGCAGAGTTTTCTCTTCTCATGCCAGGAAGGACCCCTTGCCGTTGCAGAGCCTCTGTGTGCCCTCCCAGCCAAGGCTTAGGCTTGGAGCGCATATGAATAGAGTCGCGTAGAAGCTGTCTGCTCTGCGAATGTGACCAGCGGTGGCCCTGGCTTTCAGTGCTTCACGCCAAAACCTCGGTTACGGGTGCGAACGCAGAGGCCCTGCAGCGTGTTTATTTCAACTTTGGAGGCGCCAAACTGATTGACCGCCTATATATTTTCTAACTTGCATGATGGAAATAAATGGAGTAGAGGCGCCAAGCATGACTTCTGGGATGCGACATGCATTTTTTCTAGAATGGATGAGTGAGGCAGATGCTGAACCCCCTCCCCTTCCGCCCGCTCTGTCTTCAAAGCACCTCTAAGCAATCCATGGGGACCACTTCATCATAATATGAGCGGGAGTTACAACCCTTCAAAAAAAACCAGGATTCTCATCGTTCCATGTATTGTGGCCCAAATAAGTTTTACCAAAGCACTAATGTTTTTCATGTTCTCCAGAGACTGCTTAGGTACTGCTATGGAGTTTCCTCGAGGAAATATCGTTAATTTTTTTGATAGTCAGTCGGGCTCGGCTGTCGAGCGGCTGAATTAGATGCCGAGAAATGTTCCTTCGAAGTGCTCCTTCTACTTAGTTTTTCGCAAGCCTTTCAACCATCGTCGGAAAGGCGATGCAAATCAGGGGAGGTCTTCACAAGAATACTAGAAAGCGTCGGGTATACCAAGGATGACAAATGGTCCAAATGACTGCAGGATAAAAAAGTAATGTTGTAGCTGGAATATACAGAGAAGGATCCAGTTCTCGTTATTGGTACAAAACCGAACAGATAGCCTCTCGAGAAGATTCTTGGTTGGTTTCACCTATGCATGTTATTCCAGAAAAACCTGCCGATCGCTCCTGAGACTTCAGGGCAAAACTGATTTCATGGTCCTCTCGAAGAAGATCAGGCACAGTTTGGTTCGATGGGATGGATCAAAGGGTACTAGGTATCTTGTAAAAACTTACAGATACTTGTGAAGTCCTATAAATTATAGAAGCCAAAGTGGCTCACTTGTACCATTCCACAGTTCAACAGAAGTCTGCATGTCTTACCCAAAAAAAGGCCTGTGGCCTGTTAGTTAACGCTGACTATCAAAGGATTGAGCGGAAGTGTGCAAAATATCCCCTCCGAGCCGAACAGCGTCGGCGTTTTTTTCAGCAAGGACTCTATCAACTATGGCTAGGAACCTTTTGAAAACACTACGGAATCGTAATATGGGTATTCACAAGACCTCGTGCGATCTAACTACACTTGAACTCAAGGCGCTTCAGTTTAACAGAACCTTTGGAAATTTGGACTGCCCTGAGAACGTCGGCGGGAGGGAGGGGCACTTCATGAGTTCTAGTTTCATGAATTTGATAAACGTCGTTTGAATAGAATTACAGTGCTCGGATTTGTTTCACCTATCCGGAGCTCCTTTCTTCCTCAGGCTTGGGCAAGGAGGTATCGTCTCCATGACGGTGATTCTAGTATTACTGGACGAGTCCTTCTCAAGACCTCTTCCCCCTTATTCCCTAGCGCACCCTCTCCCACTTTTTATCGTCCTTTACGTTGGTAGAATATGCACGATGGTTGTTGCTATCGTTATTCGATCCACAAAAGATTACAAGTTGTAGTCAACTGGAAATCATTTACTTCAAGCGCCCTCGGAGAATTTTGTCATTTCCCGGATTTTCTCCGCCACCTAGCCGGTCGTTTGGAGTCATTCCTAGACGCTTGAGTCAGTAGTGCCTCCTAATAACACAAGCAGCCAGTCAAGTGGGTGATGTCAGTCCGTTGCGGGATATCCGTGAAAGCTCGCGTTCCATTTCGCATATTTGCAGAGCAAGGCGAGGATACGTGAAATCGACGCCGGCAGGTGATTTTCGTTCACAAATCGTTGAACGTTACACCATTAACGAGGGCATGCGAGCCTCTTCAGTCATTGTTTACGATAGTTCAGGATGAGCTAATTGCAAAGATCCAGACTTTAGGGCTTTGTAGAGGGACGGCCTTTGAGCGAAAAGTTCTGACTCGATGTTTGGAACTTTTGTACTTCATCAAGCTCATGAATCAGATTCCGTTTTTCTCCATGAAAGAACAGAAACTGGACGCATTTTGCAGCTCCTTAGTTTTTTGTGATAGTTCATGCTAG